CTTGTTCTATCTATCTGTCTGTCTGCCTATCTATCTATCTATCTATCTATCTATCTATCTATCTATCTATCTATCAGGAACCATGTACAATATTTAACATAAATGTTTGCATTTAATGCATTGTACCAGATTTAGCTAATTTTCAATAGAACTGGAAGGAGCTGTTGAAGTACATTCAATCCAGTTGCTGTTATCCAAAATCAACAAGCTCCTAAATAATATGAGCAGAGAGACATCTAGTGTTTGTTGTAAGTAATGCATCTTTCAAATGGAAAAAAAAAAAATAACCTTATGAGAAATTGCATGAAACTTTTAGCCATATTAACCATCTGTTTCCACTCTGTTCTTATAGGGCTCCTTTAGTGATGCAGCTTTTTAGGCTATGAAATACGGATCTCCAAAATGGACAACATAACAGCCGACGCTAATGTGGGACTCAAGCTCACGTGTAACATGACCGGGCACCACAATTTCATCTTCACGTTCATCCCAGTAGTCTATAGCTGCAACTTTATCATCGGAATTGTAGGCAACAGCTTGGTAGTCGCTGTCATCTACTACTGTTTTAAGATGAAGACCGTTGCAAACATATTTGTTTTGAACTTAGCAGTGTCAGACTTGACTTTCCTCCTCACCCTGCCTATTTGGGCCATATACACTGCAACAGGCTACCACTGGCTCTTTGGAGACTTCCTATGTAAAGCCATTGCTGGGATGATCCTCCTTAATCTATATACTAGTATTTTTTTCCTCACTGCTCTCGGCATTGACCGGTATCTGGCCATCGTTCATCCCGTCAGGTCCCGCCGGTGCCGTACGGTGGTGTATGCCCGTGTGACGTGCGTCTTGGTTTGGGTAGTGGCTTTTCTTTTAAGCCTTCCTACAGCCGTTATCCGTAGGACCCATTTTATCCAGCATAACAATGTCACTGTATGTGGCATCCTAGACGGAGAAGATCTTCGCAATGTGCTGGCAGCTCTCAGTCTGATAAAGAGTGTTCTTGGGTTCCTTCTGCCCATCACCATCATCCTCACATGCTACTGCCTGATCGGTCGGTCTCTACTCAAAGCACGGGACATTCAGAGGAATTCGAGATCGAAAGGGGACGAGGTGTTGAGCATGCTGGCTGCTGCCGTGCTGTCGTTTTTCCTTTGCTGGACACCTCATCAGATCTTCAACTTCATGAACATGCTTGTTCTGCTGAAAGTGATCACCAACTGCGATGTCATTGAGATCATTGACACCGTAATGCCGTTCACCATTTGTATTGCCTTTTTCAACAGCTGTATGAACCCAATCCTGTACGGTTTTGTTGGGAAGAACTTTCGCAGGAACTTGCTGAAGCTCTTGAGGTGTTCCTCGACTTCTGTGGCCTCTCACCCCACCCTCAGTACCAAGATGAGCTCTCTCTCGTATCAAGCCTCGGTGTCATTCCAACTCTCCATCAATAAACCGTCCTCACTACCTCAAGCCACATGAGAAAAACAGGAAGTGAATGAATCTCTGATGAATCATCTTCTAAACTCACTGATTCAATTCAGAAGATGACTCTTGCTTATTGTGTTGTCGCTTGATACTGGAATGGGAACAAAATATAGTGATTCATCTTATCAAGTGTTAAGTTAACTTTTCACCTTCCTCGCCAAAGGACCAAAACATGCTGAAAATACTAAATATATATTTCATCCATATAAGCTGTTAAAGTGTGATTTGTGTATGCCGAATATTGTGAAATGCTGTATTTTCCACCAGTGTGATAAATCAATGAAATTTTAATCATTCTACACATTGAACAGAAGTATGTTTACTGTTTTTAATCCGAAATGGGTTCCTGTGTCTCATTGCTCCACTGATTAGACCAGGGGTTTACAAACTTTTTTGTCACATACCCCCAAATATGATGATCTCCTTCCGAGAGACCTCCTTTCTAAAATATAAAAGGCAACTCGTGGTTTATCAATTTATAATTGATATATAACTAAACTATTTTATACATTGCCTTAATATTAAATTAACAATACGTTTCTATAAACTGCATTTTTTTCCTACACAGACGTAATTTATTGACAGTAATAATTTTGTGTTATTCATTTATTAATTCACTATGATAGTCTGACCAGTCTTAAGAAAACAGAATGAAACAGTAATAGCGTTGAGTTCTGTAATCTTATTTATTTAAACAAATGTAATTAATTTACTATTTTTACACTACTTTTCCACAAACTTCCTAGCACTCCCTTGTGGCACCCTGAGGGCCCCTGGACCCCAGTTTGAAAACCCCTGGATTAGACTATGGCATGGGATCTAACAAGATATGTTAGTTTTTACATATGCTGTGCTATCATGGTCACCGCTGTTTACTCTTGATACAAATTATCATTTGATAAAAGTTTTATTTTTCTTTCACCACTCTGTCATTTAGTAGGCTGGTAAAACAGTTTATTCTTCTGAGAAATGGTATTTTGCAACATGCTGTTCTATATAGGCCTAATGTACTTGAGTCTGAAAATGTATGTTAAGTTGTGTCTTTTAACAGGAAAACAAAAATTAAATCTATTAAGGATACTCAACGTAATGACTAATTCGAGGATTTTTTTGATCACTAAATGGCATCAAATGAAAAAGTTAAGGAGACACAATTCACTTGTTACTGCTATGAGACAAAAGAGGAACTTCCAACTGCATTTGAACATGAAATGAAAACTTTTATTATTTTAAATTACATACTTAAACGTATGCATACCTAGTTCATTGTATTTCAGATCGTACCTGAAAATGAGTTTCGTGGCGTTATGTCTCCCAATGTTTTTAAATGAAATATGGTAAGTGAGGGGGGCGTGTCTGTTGTCAGGGGTCATGTGACCATGAAAGTCATGTCACTAGTATAAATCCTCAGACAGACCGCGTACTGCTTCTCTCCCAGCCCTGTATCCGGTTCGGTCTGGCTGTAACGTGAGCCATGGCAGGTAGGCAACGTTTTGAACCGTTACATATCGCCTGTGCCTGTAAAATGAAGTAAATGGCAGTTGTGTTTGCGCAAGTAGCATGATTACAGCCGATAGCACGCGCTACCTCAGCGGTCGCATGACTCGCTGGATATCAGAGCTGAAATTTCGTTTCAGCGTTGCGTAGACTGTGTTGTCCTCTAATATTTGACGATATACACAGTTTAGCGCTTGGTCTACTGCGTGAAGGCCCTGGTCGCCTCTCGTACGCAGTTGTTTGGTGCGCAGTCAGTGTTTACGGTAGCATTCACTGGCCTGTCATGCAGGAAGAGCTGCCGTTAGTTTGTCACTTCGATTTCTGCTGAGCGTTAATGCCTGCGCTTTATTACTTAGTCAATGCATCCAAGTTGCATCATAAGTGATCTGTCTATCACACGGCGAATACAGCGTTTAAAGCGCGTTTTCTTTTGCTCTGATGTATTGTGATCAGTTTCTTTACTTTACTTTTAGTCATTTAGCAGACGCTTTTATCCAAAGCGACTTACAAATAAGAGTTACACCCTTGTGTGTGTGTGTATATATATATATATATATAATTTCCATTTTGTATGTTGAAGTACTGAAATAACTAAAACTTAATAAAAAACCTATATAGACATAATAAAAAAACTAATAAAATGACAACATTACTACAACTGTAACTAAAACTAAAATAGATAACTAATGCAAATCAAACTACATTAGTTTATCAGTAATCCTAAAAAAAAAATAACACTGAGCCAAACACACATGCTAAAATAACAACAACTTACTGACACATAGTAAGAAATGGTTATAAAAAACTGAAACAGAAGTGAAACAAATAGTAGGAAAGAGGAGAAGTTAGTTTCTCTAACATGTAGTGCATCAGTTAATGCAAATATCAACAAATAGTCAATGGCACACAAAAGTAACAACACGTATGACAGTTATTCGCATTATTCTCCACGTTTTGTGGCAAATAAACAAGTACCTACAACAATAAACAACTTTATCGTATTTTGTATTTAATGTATATTTATGTATTAATATATATTTATTTTCCTCTATCAAAGCTGACAGCGTGTTGTCTTATTTTGTATGGTAGAGTAAATTTTCTGACAAAAATTGACCAGTTATATATTTCTTCTTTAACAACAAAAATAGTTCTACAAGATACCGAAGCATCATTTTAGGTGTCGCCAAGCAACGCTCAGATGGAAACCCGGTCTGGATGCATGAGTGAAACGGACATATAGTTCCTCTACTTGGCCCAAAACGTTCTGTTATTGTTCGGTTGTAACTCCACTGTTTTTTCTGGTTTCTCACTAGTATGCAATATTAGCTCTAAGCCGCGCACAGGACAAACGCAAAGATGAGTTGGGGACGCCATTTGATTGAATTCTAGTAAATGCAAAATAATCGCAGTGCTCGGGCAAACCGCTATAGAGTTGGTGTCGCTATAGAACCGGTGAAAGCGGTACCTCTTATTTTATTTTCTATCCGATACCGATATTTTCAAGCCCAGTATTGTCGATACCTATATAAACTAAACTGATCTTTTAAATTTATTAAAAGAATATAATCGGTAATTATACTCACTTAATATTAGATTTTAAAGCCATGTTTTTTAACATTTCATAGGCCTATTTTTGTTTACACTGTCAGAAATAAAATAAACTATAATTGTATTTTAGTCCTTTAATGGGGCAGTAACCGCAAAGGTGCAACTATACCCCTAAAAGGGAGCATATTAATACCATAGAAGTATACATGCTTTAAAGGAACACTCCACTATTTTTGAAAATACCATGGAGAGTACCTGCTGCACCCATGGTACGGCAGCAAAGTTCCTTGATTATTACGCCGGAATGAGAGTATAGTTCCTAGCCATATCGGCCTAGAAAATCGCAACTTTTTATTTTCCGTCGGTCTTGGTACACGATGTAACTATAGAAGAGTCAAGTTTTAAATAGGAAAAATATAGAAACTCTTTGGTCATTTGAGCGAGATGCTAACGGTCTAATCAGATTCAATTATCTATGCTAAGCTACAGCTAAAAGTGCTACCGCCAGACCCGGAGATCAGCTGAATGGATTCGAAAACGGTAAAACTCAACTGTTTAACTCTAGGGGAGTTGGAAAATGAGCCTATTTTCAAAAATAGTGGAGTGTTCCTTTAAGGGTAGAGAAGTTACAAAGGTGCACCTTTGAGGGTACCTCATGAAAAATAAACATGGTGTTTCATAAGTACTAAAATGTAGTAGTAGTAGTAGTAGTAGTAGTATTACCATGGTAAATTTGTGGTTACTGCAGTTTTAGTACAATTACTGTGGTAAACTGTGGTTACTGTAATAAAACCATGGTTAATTTTTGTAAAAGGCTGCCAGGCTGTTGTACCCCTAAAGGTGAAACTTTAGCATATTTTTTTCTGGCAGATTTATTAACAGCAATTGCAGAACATACAATCCATTTGAACTTTTAACAACCAGTTTAAATCAATTTACTTGCACAAACTAGCCAATTTAAAATAAATATTACATGTACACAAAAGTTTGGGGTTGGTAAGATTTTGTAATAATTCATGCTCACCCAGGCTGCACTAATTTGAAAAAAAAAAAAAAAAGAATTTTCAGCATCATTACTCCAGTCTTCAGTGTCACATGATCCTTCAGAAATCATTCTAATATTTGCTGCTCAAGAAACATTTATTATTATTGCTGCTTCACATTTGTGTGGAAACCATAGTGTGGATGCATTTTTCAGAATGAATTTTATATATAGTACCAATGTTATGTAATGTAATAATGTGGCAATGGTTTCTTAAGATCTGCTAATGCTTCTGATGCTTTTGGGAAACGCAGCCCTATTTGAACAAGCACTGTGAGCCATGCGTCAGCAGCGAACGCTGTCTGTGATTGATTGGTTCTGTCTTTCAGCATTTGAAATTGTGTGTGTTCCGATGAGCAGGAGAAATGGTTCTATACAACACAATTATTCGCCAATATAGTCTATTTTTTCCACTTAGAAGCTTATTTTATGCACCGAATTTCTTGATAAATTAAATTAATGGTTAAAAATGCACTTTAGAATCGATATTTTTATGTGAGGATCGATCCTTTCGATACAACATCAGTATCGATACTTAAGGATCGATCCGCCCATCCCTAGCGGTTTACAGGTTTCATAGAAAGAGAATGATGTGAGCCAATTAGTCGCTGTAGAAATCAAATACTTTAAAGGGTCATGAAACCCCAGACTACTTTTTCTGAGATTTCTGAGTTTGTGTTTCACATCATAGAAGACAAATTTTAGCATCCGATAATTTTAACTGTTGGAGAAAACTGGTTAATTTTAAGCTTTTTTGCGCTATTTTCATCTTCCGGGTTTAAAATCTAAGTAAAATAAGATGGTAAGTATCTATATGATATTATATCTCATTTTATTCTGTCATTAATAAACATCTAGATGATCGATGGATTGTGAACTTGTGCGCGTCTTTAAATATATACGCATTTAGCAGCTCTAACATACGCTAGTCGGACAAGCGCGAACTAATCGCGTAAAAACATGGGGCTTTTTAACAATGTTTTGCCATTGTAACATAATTATACTATATTATATATAGTGTAAATGTGTATTAATGACTTGGAGTGTCAGATAACAACAATGCTCTTTGTAAATAACATCCTATTACTTGTTTCGCTTCTGTTTCAGTTTTTATAACCATTTCTTACTATGTGTAAGTAAGTTGTTGTTTTTTAGCATGTGTGTTTGGCAGTGTTATTTTTTAGGATTACTGAAACTACTGTCATTTGATTTGTATTATTTGTATTTGTTGTTTATTTTAATTGTAGTTACATTGTCTGAATTTATTATATCTGTATAGGTCTACTACTGTCGTTTGATTTGTATTATTTGTATTTGTTATTTATTTTAATTTTAGTTAAATTATGTCTGAATTTATTATATCTGTATAGGTCTTTTATTAAGTTTTTAGTTTTATTTAATTTGAGTTATTTTAATACTTTAACAAACTAAAGGAAAATGAAAATATATATTGAATTTATAAATGTGTGTGTGTACATATACAGTATATATATGTATGTGTGTGTGGTTGTACATATACACATGTAGTTGTTTTTTTGGTGTTTGGCTTAGTGTTATGTTAGAATCATTATTATACTCTTATATCTTTTGTTCTTTAATATTTTGAATTGTTTTTAGCTTTAGTTTTTGTTTTTCATTTAAATGTTAAGTTTTGAAATTCTGTTGTATGCATTTGTAATTTTTATTTAATCTTTATTTTTAAAATGTGTATAGGTAGTATTTATAAAGTTTTAGCTTTTAGTTTTGGATCTGTTTTTAGTTGTTTTAATACTACAATTGATTGCTTCTGTTGTCCTCATTTGTAAGTCGCTTTGGATAAAAGCGTCTAATAAATGACTAAATAAAATAAAATAAATAAAATCTACATTGTGTTGACGTCACAATTTGTGACGTGGCAATGGACTAATAGTACATCGGTGACTCATCGGTGTCTATTAAATTATTCATGAGACTGCTTGTTTTTATCCTATGAGAAGAACTTCGCTTTAATTATTCACAACAGAATGTGTTGATTTGCTATGACAGATGTTTCAGACTGTGAGATGACATCGCTGCACATTAACTGAGAGAAAAGTTCATGGATCGAAGAAGAGTGTTTGTTTTTGCTTTGTAATAAGAGTTCGGCACAAACGCGATTCATTCACTTGGTGAGCATAACCGTTTTTACAGCTCTGTGACAACCCGTCCATACCCATGTTTTCGATGCAGAGTGCAAATGGCTGTGCATTTATTTGTGTTTTTAACTCGGTGGGAGTGAAATGAAACTGTCAGAACGCTAAGCTGTGTGTGTGTTGTCTGCCTCCGCTCTTCCCCCTCCTCTGCGCCGCTGCGCACCACGCCCACTTTTTTAGCATTTTTTTTAAACCTGTGGTGAGAACTAACCAGTGCTTAAACGGGGGGGGGTTTCATGACCCTTTAATGGTTGTGGACGAAATGACTCAACATGAGAGCTAACCACTAATGACATGTTAAATAAAACATCATGTAAAAAAGAAATCATCATGTTTTAAAGAGTGGCTTGATTAAGTGGTGGAAATAGCGGATGATGAGCACACAACGGTAACAAAACTCCGAGACATTTACAGTCTCACACATGTATACTTCTGCGTCGGACCTACGCCGTAGCCTTTACGCCGTAGGCTATGCGCCAGTTTTCATTTATACTTCTGCGTCGTTGTCCGCGTCAACGTGCAGTACACATGCAAACCGCTAGTCTGCAGTGTCCACGGGCATGTTGCTGGTGTAACCCGCAGTACCACGGCAAAAGCCGAAGAAGAAGCGGCTCGTCGGAGAAGCATTATAGCCGTGACGGCGGCAAATAAATATCAAATCATTATTTAAAACTACAAAAAGGAGACAACAACGGAACAGGAGATGAAGGCATTATTTCAATCTGCACAAGGACTTGTACCACGGCAGATCAACATTGTTTGTTGCGGACAACTACTGATGTATAATGCTATGTAGTATAATAAATAAGACACTTGTTCTTTGCTTTGTTTTATTTTATATAAGAAGGTGTAACATTAAAATATATTAAAGTGCGCATAACCACACACAAAACTCCGGTACATATGGAGGGAGGGGTTCTTGCAGACCAATCACAGCGCTTGCGGTCCGCGTAGAATTGACGCGCTGTTAGATTTTTGGAGAGGTGCACATCAGGCTACGGCGTATGGGTGTGCGTCTATGCGTAAGCTACGGTGTAGGTCCGACGCAGAAGTATAAAGGCTAGTGTGTGTGCAAACTCTACTACAAGGGTCTTCAACTGGGGTCCGCCAATTAAAGGTTAATCACAAATTTTTTAAGTCAAAACATGGGTAAAAAAACATCATAAAGTCAAATATAAATATAAGCACCCTGAAATGAAAGCAAGAACACCCTCAGATGATAATGTAATATAATTTTGTTCATGAGAAATAACTGCTTCATTTTTTTCGTATTAGCTAATACTATACATTTTATTATTCTGCGTGAGATTTTTTTTTTAAATAGAATTTCTTGGTAACAGCACTGTTAAAAAAAAAAAATTATCAGGTAACCTAAAATGTACATTTAGTTCCATCAAGGGCCAAATCAAATATAAATGGCACATTAAAGTTAAAAGTTTCGCACTTTTTTGTGTGTGCGCTGTACAGCTCTGGTATAAATAATGTTTTTACTCAGGTGGCCGAAATGTCCGCCCAATAGGGAAATAGGATTTTCTCAGCAAGAAAAAAAATTAGAGGGAACATTGCTAATATGGTCTAGGACTAGTATGGAAGTCCCAGTGCTGTTATATTAAATATCAGCCCTCTTGAAAAGCTGCTTGGCTAATCAAATTACAATGTATTTCCTGTGAATGTACACAACTTATTTGTTAGCTAAATTATTAAACGAGAAGAAGAATAACAAAGTGCAGTTAACAGAAACTTTTTACACTATAAACAGGCATGCTTGTGATTGTGACAATAAATTAAAATGACAAACACTAGTTTGCAACATTAAGCAGCATAAACTTTTTCTGCACTCTTTCTGTGCAAGGCTTCCGGTGTCAGGCACTTCCAAGTAAAAAAAAAAAAAAAAATGGCTGCACTCTTAAGGAAAATGGTAATTTTGCATGTGCAATATAAAGATGTTACTTAAATTAGAATGCATACAGTAAGTGATGATGGTGTGTTTTTATGTATGTTAATCTAGACCAGGCTTTTGTCACCCTCGCCACAACTGACAATTATGCCAAAGGAGCAATGGTACTTGGCAAGTCCTTGAGGAACCACAACACATTGAGGAAACTAGTGGCCCTGATTGGCCCCCATGTCTTGGAACCCTCCAGGTAGAGTGCTTGCTGTCTTTTGTAGCACAGCTTAAGTAAATGAGTTGGTTTACAACGGCTTTGTGTTCTGTCGTATAGGGTATTTGTTGTCCACACTGCAGAAGTGTGATCTATAGATCAATCGGTCTCACTTTGTGCTCTGTGTGCTACATTGCAGAGCAGTGCTTCGTAAAGTCTATGATGAGGTCAGGCTGGTGGACGTCCTGGACAGTGGGGATGCTGCACACTTGGCCATGATGAAGAGACCTGACCTGGGCGTCACCTTCACCAAACTCCACGGCTGGACCCTTACAGAATACTCCAAATGCGTGTTTATGGATGCAGATACTCTAGTGAGTGCTGTCTCGATGTTGGTCATGATGTTTTCATAATGTCTTTGAGGGGCTTTCATTGGTCTTCCCTCTTCTCTCTAGGTTTTGTCTAACATAGACGAGTTATTTGAGAGAGAGGAGCTCTCTGCTGCACCAGATCCTGGCTGGCCTGATTGCTTCAACTCTGGTGTGTTCGTCTTCCATCCCTCCAACGAGACCTATGGGAAGCTTCTCACCACCTGCTCAGAGAATGGCAGCTTTGATGGCAAGTGACACTTCTTTAGTGTTGTTAAATTTAAGAAGCTATAAGGGGGTGTTTTAACATTTCCATCCTTAAACGGAGGGTTGCATAATGTTTTGGAAAATAACTTTAACCATATACTGTGGAATTCATTCGAAAATATGGTTCTGGTCCTCCAGCACGAATATAAGATATTTAAACCCTGGCTTGTGAAAGAGTTGAGCAAACTTGCTAGAGTTCAGCTTGACCATGAGTGAGTTCTTTATAAGGCGTGTAAGCAGAACACAAGGTGGCTCTGATTTTGTTGTTTTTTTTGGATAACACCTGAGGGTGTTATTCCTAGGCTCTGTGTAGGATGAAGTAATCAAAGGCCTCTCAAATGAGAGACTCCTGCTAAACCCTTGTGAAATCAATTTGGTTGTACTGTACTGGAACTGTCATTATTTATACCGGATTACATGCAAGTGCATGTTCAATTCCAGTCCATTTTTATGACCAATTATGTATTAAGAGATACTGTTTTTGTCACTTCAATATTCCTGTTCTTTGATGTCTAACCCAAATTATTGTTGAAAAGGACTCTTCTTCTGTAGTTTGCTTTTTAGTTAGAGATCTAATCTTGAACAAAGAATTGAGCCTCAGAAGTTATCAGTAGGCCTCTGTTTTGAAGGTCATCTGTTTCATGTTTCATCTCCGTATCACTCAAAAAACACTATTGCCTAGTCATGTTTTGTTATCTTTCTATTTATATATATACAGTGGGTACGGAAAGTATTCAGACCCCCTTCAATTTTTCACTCTGTTATATTCTGCAAAAATGTCAACGATTCTGTGTTTTTCTGTCAATATGGGGTGCTGTGTGTACATTGAGGAAAAAAAATTAACTTAAATGATTTTAGCAAATGGCTGCAATATAACAAAGAGTGAAAAATTGAAGGGGGTCTGAATACTTTCCGTACCCACTGTATATATATATAGCACAACATTCAGAGGATTCTTGTAATGTGATTGATTAGTCCCAGTCACCATGCTATACAGCCTATGGCTTATCTCTGAATGTCTGAAAATATCTGGCTTCTACTAGTGAGACATTCACTCAAAAATGAATGTTGTCATTTACTCACCCTCATGTTCCAAACCCATAAGATTTTTCGTCTTACTTTTATTAAAAAAAGTTTTATTAACTTTTTGGACATTTAGTAGTCCAGAAATCTTTGATTTAAAAATATATTTTGGGTTTCGATAATAAAAATGTTATGGGAATGGAATGACACGAGTAGTCCATAATTAATGACAGAATCTTCGTGTTAGATTGAACTATAACTAACTTTTAACATGTTCTCAGTCATAGTTTTGTCATGTATAGGACATCATTTGCTTTTCATATGCAACACGAGTCTCTTGTTCACTGATAACCTGAGGTCAACTAGACTGAGGTTAGTTTTCTTTGCTTGCATACCCTTTGTGAAAGCAAGGGTCAACGTTAAGCAAACAGCTAAGCAAGTGTCTCCTGAAGCAATCTTACATGTCCCCAACCCCCCCACCCCATCAAAGGCTGAGTTTGCGTAACTGCTCATTGCTTCATCTGTTTAAGGAAGATTACAACCTCCTGTAAATATTTTTCAAATCACAGTGAAGCACCTGAAACATCTTGTTTGTTTGACTTGTTTTCATCAGGTGGGGATCAGGGCATTCTCAATAGCTTCTTCAGTGATTGGGCAACAGCAGACATTTCAAAACACCTTCCTTTCATCTACAACCTCAGCAGTATCGCCATCTACACCTATCTCCCAGCATTCAAGCAGTGAGTGAGATTTAACATGATCGAGTTTTGGAAGTTGCTGTTCCTTGCATATCATCCTTGGTTTGAAGTGTTATCGTATTTGTAGTTTGCATGAAGTGTGCCAAGGTCAAATGAAAGCCCAATCACACAGCAACATTGTAACGATCTAAATCCAGCACCAGAAATCCTTTCTGTTCCTGGCCTTGCACATCAACTTCCTCCAAATACATACGGCCCTCCAAAAATAGTGGGGCTATTTTAGGGTCTTTACACAGAGCCTAAATGTCATTTTGAATAGTTTGTTACATGATCTTTTTTCCATGAGCAACACGTACTGTTCTCTGGTTAGTCAAGCTCTCATTAGGATCTAATTTATATGTACATTTTCCATTTGAATGCCACAAACTGACAAATATCTTGAATATTCCTGTGACTAACCTCTGCTTTATTAAAACTGGATGTTTATAGGAGGCAGGTTTTATTCATTTTAAATGTGTGTTGAACAGAGTGTATTGTATATGATTGTAGTATTATTGGCAGGTCCCTCTTTAGCACTTCCTGGTTGGCAAGTGTTTGGGATTTCTAAATCCCAACTGATCATTCCTTATTCTCTTAGATACGGCCACGATGCCAAGGTAGTTCATTTCCTTGGCAAAGTCAAACCGTGGGATTACAGTTATGACACCACAAGCAAAACATTAAAGGGACAGTCCCAGGATGCTTCTGACATGCACCCCAACTTCTTGCTGCAATGGTGGGAGCTTTTCTCTTCTTCAGTATTGCCCCTCATGAAGGAGGAATACGGTGACCAGCCCTTCCATTCCGGATGCACAGAGGTAAGCAGCAGTGGCACAATGATCATATAGGCAGTTTTGGCAGGTATTGTTAGAATTTATTTGTTATTCTGAGTCAGATTGGACATGTAATAAGGAAAAATTAAAAAAGATTTGAATTCAATTTTATAGTAGGCGCTCAATAACAGTAGTTGTTTCTTTTTGAATTTCGATAAGATTATAAGGGCAAACGTTTTTATTATTTTTTTTTTAAATGGCATGCACTAATCATGTAAAATAAAAGTGCGGTCACATTAGCAAAATTTCTGTGAAAAGGGGTCCATTGTATGCTGTCAATATTGTTGTGATTTCTGAAGTCACTTTCAAACTAAGCAGCTTTTTGTCAGTGCAGCAAATCTGCATGACTTGAAAAAAATTTGCATGGGGAAGTCATTTTCTCTCATGTAAAAATTCTAGATCATTTTGGGCCACGTTCACACAGCAGCAGAATACGGTTGTCAGTCCTGTATTTGAGTCCTTAATACGGTTACATTCACACACCGTTCGGTTATTTACGGGCGTGACAACCGCATTCTGTAACCGAACTCACACCTGTACATTTTCAGGACTCACAACCGCATTCTCGGAACACACGCACTGTGTGAACGGAACAGAACTGGACAACTAGTTGTCTGTCACGTCATACAGTGTGAGAGAGCCGATCTGCAGCACAAACGCGCGTCTACTGTGTGTTACGTGTTTTCATGTGTGTTTTCGGTAACTTACAGTGACGGAGAAATTAGCTGCGTGTCATCTGAAATTTTTAGAGCCCGTCAGTTTTGTGTTCTGCGCGCGACTCAAATACTCCGCTCTCCACCCAAATTTAAAGGCTGCTGTCGGTTAATGAAGATTTGACGAAAGAACTCGCGGCTCGATTGGACTTGTTTTGGTCACTGTCGCTATGGTTACTGGTAAGGAATACGGGCTTGACTCCTGTTGCACGTTCATTTAGACCGTATTCCAAACGCAACTGTAAGCTGCTGTGTGAACGGGACATTTCAAGACTCACACCTGTAAAGAAAATGCAGTTGTCAATCCCAAAAACTGACCGTGTGAACGTACCCTTGGATTCCTATTGAAATTTAACAAACAATGGTAAATGTGACATTAAGACCAAGAGTACGCATCAAGTAAACCGACCTAATTTTTTTTTCTTCCATTGACAAAACTTCTAACTCTTTACATGAAGTTTACTTCTCTATTTATCTGAAGAGAGAAATAAAGAAGTAATCTAATTTCTGAATGATTACATTTTGAATTCTCATTTTAAAATTGAGTTACAGTTCTGTGGTCAGTAGTGGCATGTACTGTATACTGGGGCATTTATTAAGTGTGAAGAAGTAGCCTTTATAACGAAGACTTGATAATTAAGACTACAGCTTTGACTGGTTTAGTCTTGGCTCTGGTGGATTGTGTATCCTGGGTAAATTTGAGAAGGTGAGGTGATGCAAGTAGTTCTCTCTGAAACACAAGTGGGCATTTGCCAATCAGTGGGGTGTTTTAAAACCATGATAGCTGTTTTCAGCCTCTTTATGCTTTAACCTTCTACAGTCTAGGTTTAGGGGTGGGACTTCATAATTTTAGCAAGCTGGTAGAGGGATGGAAAAATGTCCATTAATTGGGAAATGCCCTGAGAGACATACTCTGCTGTAAATTCACTTCAAATATGGACCCAAGATGATTTTACAAAACACTTGCTGTGGTTGTGGTCTTTGTTCATGAAATTTTATTTAACTGAATATATTTGTATGTAATGTTTCGTTTAGTTTCGTATCACATGGGATATTGCAGCCTACACCGACACAACTATTGTTAGAAATGCTGTTGTGTTGGGTAAAAATCTCTTCCTGGATGACTTTCCATCAACTGACATGGTTCATGTACTGTACTATTATTAAAATAAGTTTATTTTATAATCTTATATACATGTAAAAATTCTATTGTTGGTGATTTTCGCTTGTTTTCTTTTTTTCTCCCTTAGAGTGATATTCACGTTGATGTGGCTCAGATGCACATGTCCCATCATCCCCCTCCACCTCAGATGTCGTCTCAGGAGCGCAAACAGAAGTGGGAACATGGCCAAGCAGACTACATGGGACTGGACTCTTTTGAGAACATAGAGAAAAAGCTAGATTCTTTCTTGAAGTGAGAGCCTCATAGGAACGGATCATCAGATCTAGTTTTGTACTAGGGTACGTATAGGCCATGAAATCACATTAAAAAACAAAAATAAAAAATACATCCTCTAATTTTTATACCAGTCCAGACCATCTATGCAGCTCAACTACTCAACCTCTTACACACTGTGATTGCAACAGTTATTAGAATGACACAATATGTCACTTGCCTCATTTCCAGAGGAGACGTGACATGACGTAATTATTCAGTCATTGTTTCTGATCTCACTGAACAAGACACTACTGTTGTTGTTTTTTTATTATTTAAAATACTATAATGTAAATGTTACAACTTATTTGCCTTTTGGGTGTTTGTGAAGATCAGAAACATTTGAAGAAAATAGAGAAACATACAGCAAACAAAACAATACCAAACCTTGTAAATGTCAAATATACTGTACACCACTCCATATTCAATATTAATCATCTAATGATATTGTGTTTACAATACACACTGTGTGCTGCCAACTCGCTTGCATTGTTAATATTGGCTCTGATACACATCAGCAACTCTTATTGTGTGCACCAAAGTCATTCTTCTCTTGCCTACTGGGCAATCACTCCCTGGACCAGGGATAAGGCACAAGGGTTTTGCTACACCTTGTTACAACTTATGCTAGTAATGCTGTAGCTGTTGTTAACTAGTTCGTAACCTCTCTGTAGCTCTGCTCCCACCTGCAACATCTGAAATAAAGAACTAGTAATACGAGTCCTAATTTAATGTCATTAGAACCAGTTGAAGCTTTCATGAACAAATAAAAATCTAATGTTTACTGTAATGAAAATAACAACCATCTTAGATTAAAGAGATATTGTGTATATAATGTGAGTTGGAAAAAAAAGAACCTAACTGAACAATTTGCAATAAAGTAAAAGAAGTGCTGTCTTTAAAGGGGTCATATGTTGCGATTTAAATTTTTCTTTTCTCTTTGAAGTTACAAGCTCTTGGTGCATAAAGAAGATCTGTAAAGTTGCAAAGACTAAAGTCTCAAATCCAAAGAGATATTCTTTATAAAAGTTAAGAGTCAACCATGCCGACCTAAAACGGCTCGTTCCAACACGCCTCCACATATCTACATCACTATGTGGGAAGATTTGCATAACGCTGCCCAAATGTTCACGCAAAGAAAGAAGGCGTAGAACCTTAAACCGCATAAACGCATTTCATTACACCAAATACACAAAATAATGTTATTTTTAGCAACATCATATGACCCCTTTAATAAAGCAAATAATCTGAAATGAACGGACTGCAGTAAAGTTAGCTTAGTAAATCTACATCTCCGTAAGGCCTCGGATCTCATCTATCCGAGCCTGTTTTAGGTCCTGTGGCTTTTTCACTCCGAAAGCCTTGTCCACAAGCTCCTGCTTCTTCTGAATCTTCACCATGTTCTCTTCCACAGAATCTTTCACAATAAGCTAAATGCAGCCACAGAGAGGAAAGAGTCATCAATTGCAAACTTCCTGTCTTGAATCTAATCAAACAATACATAATTTTATGCTGTCAGTCTAAAAATCTTAATGTGCCAAAAGTAAATGTCACTCTTTTGTGCAAATATTCCTGTCTGATTGAAAGTTGAATGTAGACTGATTAAGAGTAAAACTAAGTGACATTTGAAAAATGTCTGTCAATCCAACCTTACAGTTGGGCCTCAGTATATTAGACGGTATGAGTTTTTATTACAACAGCTGTGATGGAAGAGAACTGTTGTGAATGTTGCTTTTACTCCGTAGCTATGTTTCCATCAATGTATTTTAATGGAAATTTTGGGATATTGCATAAAAAAAAACTGGATGGAAACGGTGAGCATAAAAAAAAAAACTGGATGGAAACGGTGATGCGCATCAGATCTTAAAATGTGCATTAAAAACTTGTGCGCTCAACTGAGGTGGATTTTTTTTTTTATCTGATAAGAAAACATTCATAAATTACATTGGAAATGCATTTATCTAAAAAAATCCTTGATGCACAACAAACTCGTTACTTTGCCTCAACAGATCACGTGATTGGATAACAAACAGTGGAGTGATCTCATTGTACATCTTAGGAAAAAAAGAGCCACATGCTTCCCTGGTTTGCAGCAACTTTCAGTTACATTATCACTTTGCGCTAGTTTCCCAGGAAGTGATGATTTTGTTCTCTTGAACACACAGGATGGAAAAAGTGCTTTATTCACAAATGTTTTATGCAATATTTAAATTTCCGGCACAAGTTAAACTTGCAACTTTGGATAGAAACGTAGCTACTGTCACATTAAACACTAATGAATTTCAGTCAATTACTGGTTTAATCTCACAAACGTAATTAATGGTTCTTGGTTCATTTTGAATATTATATAACTGAAAAATTCTCAAATGGATAGTCAATGGTGAAAGTCATTGGTCACCAAAACGTTTTTTGTTGCTAACATTATTCCTCTTTTTGTGTTCAGAAGAAAGTCAGTCCCACAGGTTTGGAACGGCAGGAGTGGGAGTAAACCACCAGTGAACGGTTTATTTAATTCAACTGATTAACTGGTTCTTAAAGGTATAGTTCACCCCAATATGAAAATTGTCATTGTTTAAGTCCTCATGTTGTTCCAAACCTACATGACTTACTTTCTTCTGCAAAACACAAGTGTCATACAGGTTTGGAAAAACATGAGGGTGAGTATATCGGTGCCAGAAACATAACACTCTCTAATGACATAATTTTCCCCAACTGTACAATGTTTTAGTTTTTTGCCAAACGTTTTAACCACTGTAGTCAATCTGGTGCCTTCATTAATGTTAAGAGTTGTAGTCATGAGTTAATAAGAAAACCATTAATATCATGTTCTGTGACATTTGTCAGCACTGTGTTTTACCAATGAGAAAAATGTCAGACGTGTAATAATAATCGTTGAGATCAGCTGCTAACATTCCTCTGAGTGTCTGCCATACAATGAATCAAAGACTACTTTAGTGATCACCACATCTCTGCTCTGGCCCAGTCTATGACATCTGTCAACACAGATGTCATAGACTGGGCCATAGACCCCCCCCCCCGCAAAGTCATTCCCTATTATAGATGTTTGCACACACGATCAAACAATGGCATTGCTGCCACCTAGCGGCAGACACTATCCTGGGGGAATTCAACTCGCCGGATCCATCATGAAGACATGGGAAGCAGCGGCCAGATTAAGCCCAACCCCTCCAGCTTTGAGTGACAGTAACATGATGGTGGGACTTCCTGGAGAGGAGTCTTGAAAATCCTAAATGGCATTTGCTCTGGTCTTCTGAGCCATCCAACCGTGTGAAAGAGAATCCATATTCCCTGCAGACAGCAGCAGTGTCAGCACACTGAACCACTAATGGCTATTTCTTTTGGTATGTAGTACAGTCTGTAGTTTATAGTAGCCTCAGCAATGAAAACTACCTCAAGGGAACTTCTATAAGGTCCATAAACCTGGTAAACTGAGAAACCACAAGACTCTTAACAGTGGGGTCTTCATTGCGGAGCTTCAACAGGTTGTTCATCAAAGCATCCACCTGCATAATGAAAAGCACTTTATTGAAATATGTTAATGTTTACCAGTCTCATTAATTATTATTTTTGTTTCTGAAACCATTTGCCACATTTTGTTTGTTTTCCTCACTCACACACACACACACACACATTATAAATATTTACACTACCATTCAAAAGTGTGGGGTCTGCAATTTTTTTCTCATATATATCATATACAGAACTACCACATTTTGCTATAAGTTTGATTGCATCATATAATAATTGCTGTTAATAGTGTTCATCGTCTGTTACATCACTGAATTCAATGATGAACTGTCTTTAACTGAAAAATGAGTGTTTACTATTGTCATTTTGCATTATTGACACACTATTTTCCTAATTAATGCTGTTCAGTTGCTTTGACACAATCTGTATTGTTAAAAGCGCTATATAAATAAAGGTGAAAAAAAAATATCAAATTTTCTCACAAAGGCTGAATTTACTTGTTTAAAAATACTGTAAAAATATTAATATTGCAAACTATTATTATAATTTCAAATAACTGTCTCCCATTTAAATATATATTTTAAAATGTAATTTATTCCTGTGAATTTTCAGCATCATTATTCCAGTCTTCAGTGTCACGTGATCCTTCAGAAATCATTCTAATATGCTGATTTGCGGCTTGAGAAACATTTTTTATCATCAACGTTGAAAATTGTGAAAAAAATCATGCTGATTATTATTTTTGTTCAAAACAACAACCTTTATTTTAAATAAAAATCTTTTGCAACATTATAAATGTCTTTGAGTTTTATCCGATTCCAGAATGATCTATCACAAAAATGCATAATATCTGTAAATGTTACTTTGGAACTTGATCGCCAGTTCTCCCCAGTGGCTGGTTCAGTCTCAATTTCTTCTCCGGGATACTCCACCAGCTCTTTGGTCTTGATCTGAGCATGACACGGGACATCTGGCCTGCTCCTGTGAGACCGGAGCAAACAATATCCAGAAAGCCAATACAAGAGTCTTCTGGAAACTTCTGAGATGCTGAAATAATGCTGACCTTCTCCGATCGGATGACCTCACAGATGCAGGGCCTGCAGTACACATGAGCGCAGTAGGTGATGACAGGCTGACGTAGGGAGTCTAGACAGATGGCGCACTCCTCGTCTGAGCCAGAGTTCAGCACCAATGTGATCTTATTGATGGGCCCCTCCCGCAACTCACTAGGGGTCCCAGGATCATCTAACACATCCAAAACATTTGTTCCCCCAAAGACACACAACACAGCTGATTGGGGAGCTGCTGCTGTAGCATTGTGGTTAAAGCTTAGAATGGAAATGATCTGTACTTAATAATAATTTCATGTAGTAGTAACTATACTGATTTAATCAGCGACTGTTTAATCTCTAATTTATACCTGCCCCCGTGTATTTGCCCACAAGACTGGGGTGGCAGCAGTGCTGCCTCAGACGAACCAGGATGGCCAGGACATCAGCATAGTTTGTCATGACGGTTCCCTCTTCGAAATACCTGTAAAGACAAATTGTTTCTGTTTTCTGTCCTTTATGTAATATTGATGCTCTTCAAAGTAAGCAAAAGTGCACCCACCTGTCGACGATCTTCCTGCTCTCTCTCCTGACCCATTCGTACTCCTCCTTCTCCTCCTCAGAGAGAATCACATGCTGCACAAACACTCTCCGTTCAGGTAACTGCACCATCGTGCACCTGGCCACTTTACTGTTCTTAGTGCGCCTCAATGTGATGCCCTTTACTAGCGCTTGTAAGTTCCTGATAACACATTTACATTACACGGTAGAAAAATTCAATGCATAGAAAGGATGTGATTTGGGACGCAGCTATTGTTAGCATACTTAAGTCCAACTCTGTCGCCCATGGTCACAGGTCTCTGAATGATTCTGTTCCACCACTCCTTCACATCAAAAGGCTTCAGCTTCAAGAAGGACAGCAGCATGTAGAGATCCTTCAGGGAGTTCTGAATGGGGGTTCCTGAAGGTAAAAAATGACCATGATTGGCATCTAGATGGATTTCACAAGCATTAATAATCTGTCCTTTTGGTACTATTTAAAGGCAAAACAGCACAGAAATGAAGAAATAATCCAGGACTGAGACTTTAACAGAGTAATCAGGTAACCTCCTAAGTGAACGTACCGGACAGGATCCACCTGCGCTCTGACTGCAGCTCCAGTATAGTATCCTTTGCTTTGAAGAGCGTTAGGGTTTCTGATGACGTGACCCTCGTCCAGCACGACTCTCAGCCAGTTCACTTTGTGCAGAGGACTGTTGCCTTTGTTCTGCAGGGGGTTAAAGTTACTTTTTTTAATTATTTCACCATCTATCCAAAGCTTTTACAGAGTGTCTATTTACACTAAGAGCAAATAGCCCATCTTGT